TCTTCGTCGTCCACCTCGATATTATTTATTTCGTCTGGGCTCCTGGAAGTAGTAGGTAAACATTCTGCTTTCTTTAGGGGTGATGATTTCTCACAGGTAAGAGTCCCCCGTAAAACTGGTTTAGTAACAGATGAGACATTAGAATACAAAAATGCAGATTTATTCTTACTGTTGAAACCTTTCAGGTCAATAGAACAAAAGTAACAGTCATTATGATCACGTGGCTCACGCCAGATCATGGAGAACTGAAAGGCAATTTTTGGGAAGAGTCGTCTTTATTCCAACGACTTAATATTGTATGGCAACTTACACAAATTGTGTTTGGCACCCAAGATTTGTCTACATTCACGATAAAATAGCCGAAATAGATTTTGTAAGCAGTTTCAATTGAAGGCGTAATGTTTCTCCTTTGGTTTTTAGTAGCATAAAGTCCACATACGTTGCAGAACTTGTTAGGATCGTTCACGCAACTCCGGGGAGGCATTATAAAATAGATCTCAAGGTAATCTCTCTCAAGGACGATGAAGATTACTAGAAACTTCAACTAGGATTCTCAACTATCCTGAAAGGGACTGTCGATAAAATGCCGCTCGATCGCAAGAAATACGCCGAACCTTTCAACTATTCTGAAAAGGACTGTTGAAAAGAAGTGCGTATGATCAACGGAAACCGGACTCACAACTATCCTGTTGTCGAAGGGAGTAACTTTTGCCTTTGCACTATTAAGGGGTTGCTAGGATTGCCATCGCACTATTAGGGGGTTCATAGCATAGTTCTTATTAATGCGGTTATTAAGGGGTTCATAGCATAGTTCTTATTAATGCGGTTATTAGAAGGTTATTAGGGGTTGATGGCACTGCCATTGTATTATTGGAGGTTGATAGGATTGCCATTGGGTTATTAGGATGGATATAGAATAGTTTATATTAGGGGGTTATTAGAGGTTTATTAGGAGGTTGATAGCACTGCCATGACGTTATTGGAGGTTTATAGCATCGTAATTGTGTTATTAGGGGGTTCATAGCATAGTTCATATTAGGGGGGTTATTAGAGGGTTATTAGGGGGTTGCTAACATTGCCATAGAAATATTAGGGGGTTATTGGTCAGATAAACCTTAAATTCGGGTTCATTCAATGCAATTTTTTGGATTTTACCTTTACCTAACCTTGACTCTGAACCGACCAGGTCAAACGCACCCCAGATTCGAATTCAGCGACCTCAAAAACCTATAAAAACAGTATCTAGACCAAGATTAATGGGATAATCGTGATTTGACCTTGATCTAACTTTGACCCCTGAGCTAATCGGGTCAAATGAATTATGGATTCGGATTCAGCGACCCCAAAAACATAAATGTAATGGTATTACCTTTTGCACTTTTGTTCACATATGACTTTTTTTCGTGGGGCTATCATATTTGTATTGTTTGTACTGTTGTTTTGAAATAGTTAAAGTGGTCAACTTCATTTGATGATATCTCCGCGAAAAAAAAGATTTGTTAAATTTGAAAAATGCGTTGGAAAGGCCAGAAGCGGTACTTTGAGATGGTTAGATTCATTTTTAGCAAAAAAAAAAATGTTTTGCGGTGTAATATAGTTAGAATTAGTTTAGAAGCTTCTAAAACAGCGAAAATATGTATTTTTCGCACTTTTAGGTTAGAATATCTTGAAAACGTGACGTGATAGAGCATTTCTGATGCCTGATTCGTATTCAGCGCATAAAAACCCTCGGAATACATGAATAGCGTTCTTGCGATAACTCAAAACTTTTTTTTGCAGACCTGTGTAGTTATATAAACAATATAGATACGATACAACTTCATAAAAATAAAATTTTTTGTACCGTCATCGGATTCTCATCACTATCTATGAACAAGACATCCTGTGCATATGTTGATTACTGTAAAACATTTCTCTGCGTCGTGTTGTATAATAGCTATAACCTTACTATAAATATATACTCATATAAACAGAGGTCTAGAACCATCTACTATATTTTTCCCTATAGGTACCATTAGCCACAGTATCAATTTAGAGTAGCACCTCTCTGTTCGAGCAGAGTGATCTATTACTTCCACGCGCCGAAGCTCATGAGTGAAAATGACTAAACGAAAGTTTAATATAAAATTTGAAGTATATTTTTTAAATATTGTACTTTCGACTTTTACAGTATAAGTTTGATTTTTCATCCATTTATTGAAGCATATTACTTTAAATTATTATAGAGAAAAAAGTAGCCAATATTTTCATAAAAAAATTACTTAAGACTTCCTGATCAGTTAACAATCTTACCTGATAGTACAAGAAATTTGTTTTTTTTTTAATAAGAAATAAAAATGAAAACAGTCTTCTTACCTATATTACTCTAGGTCAAAAGCTACTTAATAAAGAAAAAGAAAAAGAATGAGCTTCAAAAGGTAGTAATTGTTTATACCAAAGAGGTATCAATTTTACGTGCCATAGGATTATTGAACACCGCACTTGAAAACCATCAGAACTTGAAAACCATATAAGATGACGAATAATTATTTTTATATCACAAAAATTAATCAAAGTATCGTCGAAAAACTTGCAATAGCGTAGGTCTTCAATTCCCACAATTCGCTATTATTGCCAAATTATTTAAGGGGAGGGCAAGGGAGGCAGTGTGTCGCTCCTAACAAAGCAGGAAAGAGAAGGTGAAGCAGGAAAGGAAAGAAAATCTCAACGATTTTCACACACACAGCTTCACTAATTGACCGTTTATTATAACTGCACTACCTTGAGTACCGACGAAAAGACAGAGTTACTTATTACTAATAATATACAAGACTTACACTAAACGAGATGGCCGGCACGTTAGCGTCATGTCACCTCATTAACCGTCTCAAACTAAGATTACATAATAAAAAGACGTTGCGCCGGCTCGTGAAAGCCTGGCGCCGCACACAAGCTGCGAAACAATGCCGAGGAAACAGAGAGAGAAAAGAGAGGAGAGAAAACTAAACCTGACCAATAAATGTGATGGCTGCTTGGCAGGTGGGCTACAGGTCAGTTGACTGGCATAAGATGCAGCCCAGTTTCGATGCTGTCACGGCTCTCACACCCTCTCGGATTCGTGGCAAGAATGATGGCAACTCGTCCAAGTGCGGCCGATCTTTCTGTCGCGTGCGTCGATCTCGTCGCGAGTGCTTGTCAGTCGGCTTCTCACGCCTTCCCCACCACTGTCCTCCTAATCGGCGGCACGCGGCACTGCCCGGCGTGACAAGTGCCGCGCGCCAAGCCTCACCGAACTACATATATTTTCTTCTCTCTCTCTCTCTCTCTCTTAATCTTGATGCTTCTCTCCCATTTCGCTTGCTCGCTGCTACCTCCTCTCTCTCCGCTCTAGCCGTAATGCTAGAAAGAATAAAGGCAGGCATCAAACACGTAAAATAACGTGCGTCCGATGCCAGCCGTGCGCCTTCGCCTAGGATAGAGAGAGGGGCATACACACGGTGTAGGCCATGACCAGCCTACACAGTCACAAACTTCTTAAGAGAACATTTCTGGCATTTCCCTTTTTTACATAATTTTATTGTAGAAATGATTGTCTTATTAGACTAGGCTCATCAATCACTCAATTTCTCAAAATATTTTATTAAAATAAATTCTAAATAACGAAGCTATGTAGTCATATTCTTTTTCAAGCGTGGGAACATACATAAGCAATAAATTTCAAAGAAGCTTGTTTCAAAAAAATTACTTTTTTCCCATAATTAATCCTTTTTTTATAGCTTATAACGGAGAATTGCGGCCGTACCCGTCTGGGTTGCTCGCGACCGTTCGCACAAATTATTTATTCGGGGATTCGGAAAGCAAAAGACGTTCCCACGACTGAATAACGTGTCAAGCATAAATACGTTAAACGCACAGATTCGAGATCGATATGAGGAGTGATACAGCGGCGAATAAACACAACAGCGGATTAACACACTAGGTTTTTAATTGTCAAAAATCGATTACAGCGTCCTCGGACTTATACACTACGAGCGGCACAATAACAAACGCGAACGCGAAGGTGAATCGGTGGCTGGTTAGCCTGCCGATTCCCTTGTGAAAATTAAATATTATAATAAATGCTCGACAAACACTTTCCGTCGATAAATTACCAACGGGTAGCCAGCAGGTCTGCCGTGATACCAGCCATAAACTGGCGCCCAAACATGTAAGAGAGAGAGAGAGACAAAAGAAAAACACGGCACCGACCTCGACCTTCAGCCTCTCCGACGGCTAGAGCGCTCCTCAGTGTGATGTCACTGGCGTGTTCTCCGCTGACCGTCTCGCTAATGCTTGTTGTCGCTATTTGTCTTCCCGCTCGTCCTCTCGCTTGCTCCTCAATATTGCCGTCTCAATCCGCTGTTTCACCCGAGAATTGCTGTGGTTGTTTCTGCCGCCTCTTCGTTGCTCGATGTTGCAGTACGTCCAATTTCTCGCGCGCGCACCCGCGCACCTCGCCAGTTACCCACACGCACCGGTGCCGGGTATCCTTCGGGACACGGCTGGACGCGACCCAGCCTCATGCTCTATTACTCGTCCGCGCACCGGGCGTGTCTCCGAAAAACGAATAAAACGTCGACGAGGTCGCGGGCCAACTTGGAAAATCGTGACCTTTCGGTTTTATCCGCGGGCGCGACCTCCTCTGCTTATAGCTTAGCAGAGACTCTCCGAATTTTCCGCAGCGATCCGCAATTCGAGCGTGCTCTCTCTCTCTCTCTCTCTCTCTCTCTTCTTCTGCGCCGTCTGATTCGCTCCAGTCGTCAGCTCAGCCCGTGTTCAGCACCTCGTAAACAAAAGGTCCAAGCATGAGCGTGTGTACCAAACGCACACACTCTCAGCTTGGCGCGGCGCACGGACATTTGCGAGAGCCAAACGGACGAGATCGGCCTAGCCGAGATTCTCCGTTACAAGCTTTCATACTATATATCTATTGCGAAAGAAATCGTTTACTGAATGGAGTCATATAGATATATAAAGGATACCTTTCTAAAAAGTCGTTGACTTCCTCCACCGGCGGAAGTTGGGTAGTAAATATAGATGTTATGATCTTCCGCAGATACTGGTTTCTCGACAAAAGGCTTATTAAATGTAACTCCGTTAACTTCTACGTGATCTTCGGATTCAACTAGTTCATGATCTGAAAAAAACCTCAAGTTTATGAAAAACCATAAACAGACATTTAAAATAGTTCAAGACATTCAAATTGTAATGTTTTATTTCATCTAAAATAACTGTATTTTTAAATGGTAGAATCCATTTCATATCATACTAATACAATGACCAATGCCAATCGATTTCGGATATTACAGAATATCTATTTCAATCAACTTTAAGGGATACATGTTTTAGAATTTTGCTTACAAATGATTATTATTATTATCTTTGCGTAGATGGACTATCAAGAATTACAATTTCAAAAAGTCAATAATTTATAGTACATATATGTATATCGTGATATATTAGGAAAACAAAATAATATAGAATAATTGCAATCTAAAAACTTTTTAACACATGTACATATGTAATTTCAAAAACAATATTTGATGCATTTTGAGAGTGTAAAATTTTAATAAATTTGATAATTTTAAAATAAGAAAAATTAAAATAAGAAAAATTAAAATAAGAAACAGGAACATAGCTTGAAAATGAAGTCCATAGTTCTTGTTTAATCGGTTAAAAATGACAAAACCTGATTTTTCATAGAACAACATCTATTGAAATCAATATATTCATTTTTATAAAAATAACGGACTGTTTGAGAATTTTATTCCTTTACTTTTTTTCAAAACTTTGAATAATCGAGTCGGAAAAAATTCTCGATGGAATAAGGTACGTTGAGGTGTAAAATTTCTTAAAAATCTTACAAGGAAAGGTGCCCAACCCGAACTCACCGATTTTGGTACATATTGTAGAACATTAAAAAATAAGAGACACGTATTTTTTTTATCGGCTAATTTTCACTTTTAAGGGGTAAAAACCTCCCTTACAGTTAACCCCCAAAAAGCGTTTTTTTAATATCTAGGCTTAAAATTAATATTTTTCAGTGAAACAAATTGGAGGTTATTTCTTACAAAAGGAGCAAGTATTTCATGGTGATTTGAAGAGTAAGAGTAGCATCCCCTATTTTTTAAGGGTTGAAAACATATATTTTTTAGCATAAATTTTTAATAAAAAAGTTTAAACTGATTAAAAAAATTGGAAAAAATGTTTAAACATCTGTAACGGAGAATTCCGGCTGTACCCGTCTGGGTTGCTCGCGACCGTCCGTACAAATTATTTATTCGGGGATTCGGGAGGCAAAAGACGTTCCCACGACTGAATAACGCGACGAGCATAAACACGTTAAACGCACAGATTCGAAGTCGGGATGAGGAGTGATACAGCGGCGAATAAACACAACAGCGGATTAATACACTAGTCTTTTAATTGTCAACAAACGATTACAATACGGCGACCACGGACTTATACACTACGAGCGGCACAATAACAAACGCGAACGCGAAGGTGAATCGGTGGCTGGTCAGCCGGCCGACTCCCTTGTGAAAACTAAATATTATAACAAATGCCCGACAAACACTGTTCGCCGACAGACTACCAACGGGTAGCCAGCAGGTCTGCCGTGCTACCAGCCATAAACTGGCGCCCAAACATGTAAGAGAGAGAGAGAGACAAAAGAAAAACACGGCACCGACCTCGACCTTCAGCCTCTCCGACGGCTAGAGCGCTCTGCACCGTGACGTCACTGATGTGCTCCTCGCTGACCGTCTCGCTGGTATTTTCCTTTTTTGTCGTCGCTATCTTCTTCCTTCTCGTCCTCTCGTTCATTGATTGTTGTTGCTGTTGTCTCTGCCGCCTCTTTGTCGCTCGGTATTTCAGCTCGTCTGGACTGCCCGCGCGCGCACCCGTGCACCTCGCCGGTTACCCACACGCACCGGTGCCGGGTATACTTCGGGACACAGCTGGGCGCGACCCAGCCTTACGCTCCAATATTCGTCCGCGCACCGGGCGTGTCTCCGAAATAAATGATCGTCGACGAGGTCGCGGGGCCAACTCCGGAAAAACCGTAACCTTCGGTTGTATCCACGCGCGCGACTTTCTCTGCTTATAGCTTAGCAGAGACTCCCCGAATTTTCCGCGGCGATCCGCAATTCGAGCGCTCTCTCTCTCTCTCTCTCTCTTCTGCGCCATCTTCATCGCTCCAGTCGTCAGCTTAGCCCGTGTTCAGCACCTCGTAAACAAAAGGTCCAAGAGTGAGTGTGTGTACCAAACGCACACACTTTCAGCTTGGCGCGGCGCACGGACATTTGCGAGAGCCAAACGGACGAGATCGGCCTAGCCGAGATTCTCCGTTACACATCCATAATAACAAAATTTAGTTGACGTCTTTCGGTGTTTTAATAAATATTACGCCTAAGGAGGGTAAACCACCCCTAACATAAAATAACTGTAAATATGTAATTCAATATATAATATTTCATACAAAGTTTGTATATAGAGGTTTTCGAGGTCCCTGATTACAAATCTGTTCTCAGATTTTGAAAATTCAAAATGTCGCAACCAATATGGCGGACGGAAATATCGAAAAAAAAATTTTATATAATAAAAATTTTTAAACAACTAAAAAAATTGGAAAAAATTTGTAAACATCTCTAATAAACAAATTAAGTTTTTTGGTTTTTTCATAGATACTACCCTAAGGTAGGGTAAACCACCCCTAACATAAAATAACTATAAGTATACTTCAATCCATAATATTTTGTAGGGTTTGGGCAACTGCGGGAGATCCCGACCGACCCGACGGTTGACCTGCCCCCCCATCCAAGCACGCTTCAACTACTGGCAGACCGACCACAATTTCGGGAACTGCCCTCATCCCAAAGAGGGACAGTTTTGCGGAAATTGTGGCCGGCGGGGGGTTTTCGACTGCCCGAGGTGTGCCGAGACATACCATCGTCGACACGGCTCCTCGGACTCGAATAACCCGGTGGAGAACATCATCTCTCCACCGAGACCTCGACCGACTCCCAGTCGCCAGAGTGGGTGGGATGAAGTGGACAGATCAGCGTCCACTTCGTCCGGGTCCGGTTGGGACCGAAACCCAGGACAGGAGCCCCGCCACCGAGATCAGGCAGCCCAGCTGAGCTCGCGCCCTCGGGAGACGGACGATCCTCCACCGTTTTACCAGGAGACAACCCGAGGCCGAGCTCACTACCGCGAAGGGCCGGAGAGGGAGAGGCCGACGGCTAGTACTGGGGCTATACCCCGCACCGGACCCCCCCGCTTTATCTGCCAGACCATCGGCGGAGGAGCGGGCGAGAGAACTACTACGGAGGTTCCACAACAACAGGACCTCCGAGGATGAGGTCGACGTTGACCTGCGCCTGAGGGAGCTTCAACAACTCTAGCGCGCCCTCCAGGAGATGGAGAAAATGGAGAGGCGCGATCGCTCCCGCGGGCGCACAGAGCGGTATTGCCGAGCGCTGTGTTCGTTTTCAATAGTCTCTTAGTAGGATAAAGATAACGAAACGCTGGATATCTCAAATTAAAGATAAAAGGGCCTAGAATAACGGGGACGAAGTCCCATGTGATTATTTTTTACTGAAGAATGCAAAAAGACCAATAAAAAATTTTTGAAAAAAAAAAAAATTTTTTTTATATGATACATCACAAACAAAGAATGAAAATTTTTTATTTTATTAATTATACTCATTTTTTTACATTTTTATGAAATTTAAAGATAAATTTATTTATAAATCAAAGCTTAATTTATTATAATTGGCCAAAAATACTATTAAAATTAGATTTTGTTAAACTTATTTGTCACAAAATATTTAGTTAACAGTAATTCAAAAATATAAATGTAAAGATCAATGTTTACAGTGGCAGATACTATATATTTTTTTAAAATAACAAAATGTACAAGTTTTTCTTGTAAAAAATAAAATATTTGAAAAATTTAATGTCTTATAGCAGAGATATACATTTAACTTGAACTAAAAACTTTGGTATTTTATTATAAATAGATTTTTAGGAATCCGATACACATTCCTCATTGCTATTAATTTCGGCAAAGTCACTATCTTGTGATGGTTGTCTATAAAGATAAACATTACTAGAATTAAAGTTTTTTATAGAAATTTATTACGTACAATCAATAACTTCAAAAACTTACGTGCTTTCAAAAAATTCCTGTACTTTCTTTGAAACTTGTTGATGTTTATGAAATTTTAATCGATTTTCCAGTTGTATTAGAGATATTTTTGGATCCGAAAGATAAATAGCTCGATTGAAAACATCTAGCAACCGATTTTCCCTACTAGTTTGTCTTGCGTGTGATGTCATTTTTTCTATAGTATTTGTGCCAGGATTCATTAGCATCTTCTGCATAATATGCAATCGGGATGTCAAATTGACGAGCTATCTCACAACCATGTTTCAATATTTTATGCAGTGTAGGATTCATTCGTGCCCAAGGATACAATTTGTAATGTAGACAATATGTTTCCCAGCAAAATTTTTCGAGCTTGTCTAGTTTAAGATACTTTTTGCTTTTAAAAGCAGATATTATGGTTGAAATGTTTTCTATTAATTGAACGTCGACACCAAGAGCTTCTGAAAAAAGGCTTGAGTTTTGAAAACACTTTCGTGCAACATTCCCAGTGTTTGTGGTTCCATGTCCTTGCAAAACTTGGTCGACTTTAACTCTAATTTTTTCATATACAGTTCCTTGAATAATTTTTTTCTGATTTTCAAAATTATCTGTAAAGAATGAATGCTTTTAGAAACATTTCTATATTTAGTTTACTTTTAGAAAAATAGTAACCATAATTTTATTAGCTTTCTTGAGAAAAAAAACTGCATATTTATGTAAATAAAAACCGGTGCAAATAAAAAAAATATAGACGCTCAACATACGAGAAATTAATTAAAACTTTATTTAAAGCACGTTAAATAAAAAAAACATAACTTATAAATACCTAGTCCACTATAATTTCGATTTTAAAAAATTTGAAACTATTTTAGAATTATAATAATAATATTGATATCGATGGCTGAGAAGAAGAACCGGAAATTTCGGAGCATTAGAGGTACAACCGGAGATTTCGGCGCGCTAAATGTAAATTTACATTTAGCGCG